AGGGATTAACACCAGGCAAACAATCAAGCAGAAAACAATACCCTAATCAAGGAATTACCAAGGAGAAAACCATACCTCCACCAAAGTGACAGGGAAGCTACTGTATACAGTATAAACAGGGAGCAAACCCCACACTCACTCACACTGATGATATTACCTAGTTGGGTAATGAAATGTCTGCAAGCAAATAACCAAGCTCAGAGAGCACCAAGGACTCCACTGTATAAATATTATGTTGCTTCTTCCCATCCTCACCCTCTCTTTGAGGAGAAATGTACACATGACCAACTTACACCTAGTTACTGTAGTCATTGATTAATTCTGGGGGAAGTGCCTACATTTTAGGAAAACAGGTGGGAAATACATGCCATTGCCTACCATAAGCTAATCAGTATCCTCGACACATTTCCTCTGTCCCCCAACACTCAGTCACCAGTAAAGACAGTACAGTTTGTAGCCAGTCAGGGCAGTAAGGAGAATGAGAACATCACAGTTCTGGTAAGATAGTGTAACAATCTTACACTAGGGAATGACCTTGGGAATGGCCTTGGGAGACAGGAGGAAGAGCTGCAGCCTAGACAACCGTCATGCAAAAGGCATCTCAGCCCACAGAAGGAAAAGGGGTGTGGGAAGCATCTCAGAAGAGACCCTCCCTAGTTTTCTGGAGAGTAAAAGGAAAGGAGGGGAGAAACACTTTCAGTCCTGCAAGATTCTGTTATTGTAACTTACAGTAAAGTTAGTGTTAGTACACTTGGTTTGTGCTTTTTGTCTGGACTACCTTGAAGGCTAACAGATATTGTTATGTCTATCTCACAATGGCTGAGTTAAACTAAGGATTTATTTATTTATTTGTATTTCAGACTTAGTCACCGCCCATCTCACTCAAAGAGCGACTCTGGGCAGTTTACAATAAAATAAGAATAAATACTGATTCAAATACAATAAAACAATGCTCATAAATAGATAATGTCTTCCAAGGCACTGATGGTAAATAAAGGATATTAACCTATGGGAGCGTCTTCAGGGTGCCAGCCACCCCCGGGGTTGGTTACCCCTCCTCATGCTTCATGCGAGTTGGCAGAGCCAGGTCTTCACCCCTTTTCAGAAGGCTGGGAGAGTGGGGACCCGCCTCACCTCTGGGTGGAGAGTATTCCATAAGGTGGGGGCAATGGCAGAGAAGGCTCCTTAATGAGGAGGAACTGTCAAGGAGGCAGGTATGAAGGGTTAATAGGAGCTGGCAGAAGGATGCCTCACCTCCCCATATTTTCATCTGTCCTCTCAGGAGGCGAACACTGAAAATAACAGACGGTATTCACAATCTGGGCACTGTGCGCTGGGAGTTGGCTCTCTGCCTCTTGCTGGCCTGGATCATCTGCTATTTCTGCATCTGGAAAGGAGTCAAGTCCACTGGCAAAGTAGGAGTTACCCTGTGCTTGGTTAATGCTTAAATTGTATTGCTCTGTCCTGTCAGCCTCCTTTCATCAAAGAGTAGCAGGATAAAATGTGTGTTTGTGTGGAGGGGGAACATTAGAAATAATTTGATTTCATTTTAATGGGGATAAAAAAAGGCATCAAGGAGTATGAAAAAGGTCAATTAGAGCCCCAGGCCATAACTGTAATAGAAATGACTTTGAAAAATTGTTTCATTGCAATCAACCTTCCTCAATTTTGCACCTTCAGATGTTTCAGATTACAAATCCCATCACCACCAATGGTGTGGTACACAATGATAGGAATTGTAATCCAACATATGTGAAAGATTCCAGGTTGGAAAAATTGATCTAGGCTATGGTTGACTCACATTGTCCTATCAAAGAACCATAGCTTAGACCCACCTTAATTTCAAGAAGTGCATTCACTTATGGGAATCCTTACAATAGGAGGTGACAATGGTTACTACATAGGCAAATTCATGGAGAACAGGTATACCAGCATTTGAGATATTAATAGTCTTGTTCAACCTTTGTAAAATTCCTGTAGAACTATCATGTTTTGGGTTTCATCAGCTGCTGGGAAGCAGGGGCAGAAGAGAGCTCCTGCTTCTGGACTTTGCAGAACTATTAAAGTAGCCAATATTAAAAAGTTACTATTGTTGATGGTATGTCTGGACCATCTGTGGGATTGGACTTGAGGGACATTGTTTACAGTGGTTCCTGTCCTTCCTGTTGGGCCCTTTCTAAAGGTAATGTTGGGAGACCACTGTTCAACCCTTAGACTGTTGACTTCTAGTGTTCTCCATCTAACATGGAACATTAAATGTAGACAAGATTGAGGTATTTTATTTATTCGTTTGTTTATTTTAATTTCTATAGCCACCCATCTCGACCAAGTGACTCTGGGCAGTGAACAATTATAAAAACAGTTAAAACAATTACAATACAATACAAAAATAAATATATATGGCAGCTGAGAAAAATTATCACCTTATTTATCAATATAGCCAAGAAACAGAACCCTTAACACACTTGGGACCCCAGACCTGGGCACATAACCAAGTCTTCAAGGCCTTACAAAAGGCCAACAGGGTTGGGGTCATCCTACTCTTCAGGGACAATGTTCCAGAGGGCAGGGGCTACAGCAGAGAAGGCACGTCTCCTGGTCCCCTCCAGCTGACATTCCTTGGCTAACGGGACCTGCAACGTGCCCAACCCGCCGAACTGCATTGTAAATGAATAGGAAACTGGATGTGAACTTGTTGGTTGTGGCAATATTTATCCATGCTTTGGTTACATCCCAACTTGACTACTGCATATCAACTACATGGGTCTACCCTTGAAAAGTATCTGGAAGTTGCAGTTGGTGCAAAATGCAGCAGCTATGGCGCTAGCCAATGTCTGATTGGCATTGGTTGCCAATTCCTACCAGGCACAATTTAAGTTGTTGGTATTAACTTTTAAAGCCATAAACAGTTAGGGCCACACCTGCCATTAGGAAAGGGTCTGAGGGTTAAAAGACTCCTTTTTGACAAGGGTCCCATTGCCAGAGGGCCATCATTTTGGCAAACGGGAGATACAGTACTCTTGCATTGCCCCCAGGCAATGGAACATATTTCTTGGAAGTTGCATTTGGTCTCCACTTTCCCAACATTTAAAAAAATCTGTAAAAACACAGCTCTTTGCCGACTTTTAATTATTACATTATTATTCATATTAATCTGTGTTTTTAACTTTTAATATTCAATTTCATTTAACATTTTTGTTAGACGCTTCGGTATTTGCCAGGGTAAAAATGAAGAGTATAAATCAGACAAGGCAGGCTCAGGATCTTAATTGGTATTCCTTAATTGAAAGCCAAAACACATAGTGTGGAATGCAAATATATTCCCACTTGGCTACTTACATTATAGGATGCAGTAGTAATAGAAAACATCAGTTTGATTAAATTAGCATTGCATTAATGTTACACTGAATTAAGAGAATTCAGAATGCAAATGAATACTATTCAAGGAAAATTACACGCCTTTATTGATTCTAGGAGAACACACAGATCAGTATATGGATTTCAAAATGTGCTTGCGTCATTTACTGCTGTTACAACAGTGGGCATTTCACCACTCTGTCAGGTTCCATCATACTCTTGTTGTGGGCCAGGAAACACAAACTGCTGCATTATCATATTTTGAAGTAGGTGATGCTATTTCTTTTGGAAGGACAAAGAGAGACCTTGACATAGCAATGCTCATTCATTCATTCATTCATTCATTCATTCATTCATTCATTCATTCGCCTGTTTATTATTCAAAATGTACTATATGTGCTGAATTGTTGTTGTCAACTTTTATTACTTGCTTCTCCTTACTCTAATCTGCAAATTCCCTGTGAGCAGAGACCAGAATCAAATTGGGTGGGGAGGAGACAGCTGAGGAGGCACACTGCTTGAAAAGTGCCTCAACAGTAGAGAAGGCAAAATATGGTTTTCATCACAGACGCTGTCCAATAGGTGCTATTGATAACCATACTTAGGCTAATGTAGGCTTTCCTAAAGCAAAGACTAAGTCATCAAACCCAATGGGGTGTAAAGGAATGAATATGCATATCAGAATGCCTTCAGTCTCTGAAAAAGCTGTTGATGATCTACAGGCTAAATATAGACTGATCGTTCTTAGCATAGAAGGGAGAGTTGTTAAAAATTGTATGTGATCTCATCTTTTCCTCTTTCAAGACACAGTTACTAGTTGTGCAATTTGGGTCAAAGATAAGGCAGTATTCCCTAACCTGGTGTCCTCCAGATATGTTGGATAAAAACTCCAAGAATTCCCAGTCTTTTTCTGCTCTGGTTTGGAATTCTGGGAGTTCCAGACAGCACATCAGGAGGTGCCAAGCTGACTAAGTCTGATGTAAGAGTGGCTCCATTCAGCTGGCGTAATATGTATCATGCAGAATGGCCAAGGCTACCAGATTTAGGATGCAAACATCTGGATTCCCACTTGATTGCAGCAAAGACCATCTATTTGCCGTCATCTAATGGCTGTCTGGAATTTTGTGGCCCAAATCTGGTCACTCTAAGTTTGCCAGTCTTTTGGCATTATAGCTAAATTAGCTTGGGAAGAGGGGCTGCTGTGAGAACTGAAGCTGGTAGGGCAGGAAGCTAAAAGCCACAAATTAGACAAAACATTATGTAAATACAGCATGACATTCCAGATTGAAAAAGGAAGCAGCAGTTTGTTACTATGAAAGGCAAAGAAAGGAACCTAGGATTTAAACCCTGTGTGTGTCTATGTGAATGTGTACACACACACACACACACCCATCCCCACACATGCATATATGCACACATGCACACATAAATATCTCTGTATTTGGCAGTCTGTGTAAATATGGCTCCTTAGAGTTTGTAATAGCTTTCATCTACCTGTACTGAGTCTTTGAAAGTTCTACTGTTAGCGAGACACTAAGTGCAGGAATTGGGGGTGGGGTGGGAGTTGAATATTTGAAGAATATTAAATCAAGCCATGCCTCCATGAAGTCTCACAACAATATCTATTACTCTTATTCCCAGCACTAGGGAAGAGGCATTATGCCCTGACCTCAGGATTTAAATGATGTCTACCATTCTTATCAAAACTCCACTGATTGTGGATCAAGGCACTAATGCCTTGCTCCAGTATCACTACAAAGTGGTGACACAGATGGAACAATTAGCCCATATATCGACTTATCTAGCCCAGCAAGTGGAACAGAATTTGTCACAACACACAGCTCTAGTATCTCTTCCAGCCTAGAATCCAGCAGCCATTGCTGCTGTAATAGTAGTCCTCCGACACCAAGCACTTGCCTACCAGCCTGATAAATGTGATAGGAATCCTGGAAAATATACTGGCTTCCCTTGCTCACTATGATTTGCACATCTTCCTAAGTTCAGAGATCTTTCCTACGTAATCAATATCATGATATACAACTGGCCTCATGACTGAGAGAGCTGCAAAATAGGTGCCACCACCATTTGTTTCTGACTTGGACAACTAAGCAAACTTCATAACACTCCTAGGACTTCTTTTGATGATCACATCAAATAGGGTGACTGTCAACCAAGAAATCCATTGCCTATGACAGAGTAAATGCTCTGGAATATACTGCTAATTTTCATTTGTTAGCTCAGGATGTGGACTAGAAAAAAAGAAGTTTAATTCATTAATTCATACTGCATTCTATGGCTTAGGAAACAGAAATGAAGCAGGAAACTGATCAATTTCTGCCACTCCAATAATGTCTTCATAGCTAACACTGCCTTCAAATAACCAAAACAATGCCTCTATATGGGGTCATCACCAGATGGAGTATATAGAAATCAAAATGACTATATAATTGCTGAAAGGAGGTGGAGGAGCTCAATTATAAGCATGAAAGACAGGACCAGGTGCTGACTCTGGAAGAGAACATGAACTGCTCACGTGCAAGCTCCAAGTTAGGCTAAAGAAGAAGAAACCAGCCAGTTTCCACAATATGATCTTAAGCATGTGCCCACCATTTTCAAGGAGAACATCAGAAATTGCTTTGAAATCCTGAACCTCATTGTTAGAGAACCAGAGGAACTGTGATATGAACATAAAGAAGTTGTAAAGGATGAATGTGAAAAGAGACTGCCAAAGATGAAGAAACAGAAGAAAGCAAACTGGATGTCAGATCAAACCATAAGAGACTGCCAAAGATGAAGAAACAGAAGAAAGCAAACTGGATGTCAGATCAAACCATAAGAGACTGCCAAAGATGAAGAAACAGAAGAAAGCAAACTGGATGTCAGATCAAACCATAAGAGACTGCCAAAGATGAAGAAACAGAAGAAAGCAAACTGGATGTCAGATCAAACCATAGAAATTGCCAAAAAGAGAAGAGAGGCAAAGCCAAGAAATACAAAAATCTCTGGAAGGGACTTAACAAAGAGTTTCAGAGAGCATCTTAGAAGAGAAAAAAGAAGTATTACAACAATATTTGTAAAAACAATGAATATGGAAACAGACATGGAAAAACAAGGAAAGTCTTTCAAAAGATCAAAAGGAGCTTCCAACCTCAAATTAATATGCTAAAGGATGCCAATGGACATTTAAAGGAAATCAGACTAAGACAGAAGGAGTATACGAAAATACTATACAGTAGAGTTGTCAACATCCAAGATAGCTTAGAAGATATTCCCTTCTTATAGGAACCTATAGTACTAGAACATGAAGTTCAATCAGCACTCTGGTCATTACCAAGTCAGAAGATTACAGGAATTGATGAAATACCCACAAAACATGGCAAGCAATAGAAGAAGAATCAGTAAATGTTCTAAAAAGCTATGCCAACAAATCTGGAAAATGACACATTGGTCAACAGATTGGAAGAGGTCAATCTACATTCCAATACCAAAAAAAGGAGACTTAACAGTGTTTTAATAATATCCTTAATTTTACATGCTAGAAAATGATAGTTAGGATAATCCACATATTAGAGCCCTTCATGGAAAATGAGATGACAGATGTTCAAGTTGGCTTTAGAAAAGGCTGAGTAACATGACACATTATTTCTGATGCACACTGGCTAATTGAGAAAGCCAAAGAACACCAAAAAGAAGTCACTATATGCTTCACTGATTGTAAAAAGGCCATTGATTGTGTTGATCACATCAAACTGTGGAATGTGCTTAAAAAATGGGAATCCCAGAACATCTCATTGTCCTCATGAGAAACTTAAATACAGATCAGGAAGCCACAGTATGGATAGAACATGGCAAAACAGACTGGTTCCAAGTTGGCAAAGGAATGAGACAAGGCTGCATACTCTCCCCTTATTTATTCAACCTATATGCTGAATATTTATTAAGGGAAGCTGGATTGGAAGAAGATGAGCATGGTTTTAAAATTGGGGGAAGAAACATCAATAACCTGACCTATGCTGATGACATTACTTTGATAGCTGAAAATGCAAACCACCTGCAAGCTCTAGTAATAAAAGTAAAGGAGTACAGGGAAAAATGGGACTAAAATTAAATACAAATAAGACCAAACAAATGACAACAGGTAGAACAACCAGCTGTAGAACTGACAATGAAGAAATCAAAGTGGTAGACAACTTCTGCCTTTTAGGATCAACCATCAACAGTCAAGGAATAAGCAGTCAAGAAATATGCCACAGACTAGCGCTTTGCAGAATAGCCATGAAAGCCTTGGATCCAGTTGCATAATGTGTCTATGCCTACAAAGATCAGAAAAGTCAAGCAGTGGTATTCCCTGTGACACTCCAGGGAAGCAAAAGTTCGACTTTGAAGAAGCAGGATAGGGAGAATATTGACCCTTTTGAACATTGGTGTTGGATAAGACACCTGAGAATACTGTGGACAGCCAAGAATACAAATCAATGGATCATTGAACAAATCAACTCAGAGTTCTCACTCAAGGCACAAATGACCAGGCTCAGATGATCCTACTTTGGACATGGAGAAACTTTACTGCATCTACATGGTTGCTAAGAGTTTTGACACTGACCTGATGGCATATAATCAATTAATTTTTTTTCCAGAAAGGCTTCAGATGGGTCACACAGAAGCAAAACATATTCTGTCTTGGGCACTCACATACATTGTCAGGGTTGAGCAACTTTTTCTGAGTTTTACGTTTTTACCATAAATATATTCCTAATTTTTTATTCTAACTGTGCCACTCGTGTTGTCGAGAAAGGGGCTCCCTTTAATGAGATTCCAAGGCCCAACAAGCATTTCTACTATTTAAACAGGCATTCACTTCTTAGCTTATCCCCCATCACCCAGATCCCACCCATCCTTTTGTGGTTCAGACTAACGCTTCTGATTTCACGTTGGGTGTTGTGTTTTTATAATCCACTCCAGAGTTTGACAACAAATTGCTCCCCTGTGCATTTTTTCCCCAGCAGTTCCTTTCAACTGAACAAAATTATGATGTTTTTAACAAGGAGCTTTGGGCCATTAAAGAAGTGTTTTAAGAGTAGCACCATCTCCTCCAAGGTATGGAACACCCTATAGAAGCCTGAGCTGACCACAAGAATTTGGAATACTTAAAAATTTCTTACAGACTCATGCAGCACCAAGTCAGGTGGGTACAATTTTTTCCCCATTTTTACTTTTGTATCCCTTATGTTGCTAAGTTAAGAATAACCAAATGGATGCATGGTTGTATAGTGATAGGATTAATAGAGAGATTATATTTTGCCCTCAGACCCTCTTCCAACATCCATTATGTGCTCCCTGACTCCTGGACCATCTTCTGAAACTCTGCAGGCTGGAAGTGAAACTTTCCTTAACTGATCAAATCTGTACACAGCAACAGATGGATCTATATGTGCAGACGTAGATAGAGGATCTTCAGGGGAATCATTTGTTTCCTCTGCCTCTTCCTTTGATTGGGAATGAAGAGAGCTTTGTCACAACAGCTGGCTATACATTTCTTCTTCCTGGAGAGAAAACGTGATGATGATGATGACTACAATTTAGCTGCTGCCTGACTCCAAGCTGACTCCGGGAGACTTGCAGTTCTGCCATGAAACAGGCGAGCTGGATATTTTGGAGTACTTAAAATGACCCATCTCCTACATGACTTTTGATGGCTTCATGTTAGAGCAGATATCAAGGTCTATGATTTTTCTTGCCACTTTTGTTGGCATGCTAAGCCTCTCACCAAGAAGCTGGTGGACTATTACATCCCTTCCCCTTTTCAGAAGGGCTTCGGACACAGTTTCTTGGTGAAAGGTATGGGTTCTAATCTACCTGTAGTTAACCTTTTCTCTAAGATGACTCATTTCATTCCCTGTCATGGGCTCCCCTACTCCCCCAAGATGGCTCATCTGTTTATTCCATAATTTTTCTGGATCTACAGCTCATTTCTACAAAGGCACATATTTCGTGGTATGTTATTAAAAAGCTCTATTCCAGTTATTGAAGGTTTATCTGTACTTTGACCATCATCTTCAGTCAGATGAAAAATGGAGAGGACAAATGCCGTCTTAGAGCAATACCTCTGTTGATATGAAAGTACCAGGAGGACTAATCATTTTACCCACCAAAGTTTGCTTATAATAAGTTAATCTTTGCCTCTACTCAGATGTTCCCATTCCAGGCCATGCACAGCTATCATCCACCCCTGCTGCTAAATACTTCCCAACCTTTTACCATCCCAAAAGCCTCTTTGTTTCCTCCAGGAACTGCAGGCAATGCGCTACCTCTTCGGAGATCAGCTGGATAGTGTCAAAGTCTTGTACAAGTAATCTGCTAATTGTCATCACCAGGAAATTTCCTATTGCTTTTGGAGACTATTTTTGGGTTTCTATCAGATTTCTCACCTCTACCTGACCATCTAAGAAGCCAGATGTCAAGTCTATTGGTCCATTTTCAATACTTGCAGAGAGCCAATTGCCTTTTGTCTGCCATTTTCAGCCACACTGAAAATAGACCTAGTTTCCCTCCCAGTCCTGGATGACTTCTTGCCCAGACCAGCCCCTCTGCCCCATGTGGACCTCTGCCTCCCCATCTCAATGGAGGAAGGGAGAAAAATCCAAGATGGAATATATTTTGGATTCCTGGCATAGAAGGAACAGCTTGTACAAGGGATACCCAGATTCAATGAGATCAAGAGAAGGAGCAGATGATATCCTCCCACTTCACTGGTTCCATTTGCAATAATTTTACAAGTTCACACCACGTGATTAGCTTTACATTCTGATTCTGGTGCCTGCTGGTTTGCCTGTCTCTGAGGAATGGGGGGATTAGTTTAGAAAGAGAGAGGGTGGTGCTTGCATTTTTTTATGAGAGAGAAAGAAAGATTGCCCCACTCAGAGCTGGAGGGGAAGTTTAGGATGGGTTGCTGACAAAGAAGTAGGGGAGATGGAAGTCCCCACCCCACCCCACCCCCTGGTGTTCAGGAAGATAGGGAAGGAATTTGGGGAGGAAAATACTCTAACTTGAGCCAATGAAGAAA